CCACCCTGCCTGACTGCCTGTTTTAGCTCATAAAATTCATACAAATTACCTGGCCAGAATATAATTTACATTGCTGGAATTCTTACAATATGATGATCATTTTGAATATAAACATCATAGATTTTGCATTAGACATACAAATTTTAGATATAATGTTTACTCTGAGTAAATATGTTATTTTTTGTGCAAAATATATGACATTTGTATTCAAAATATTCCTGGGCTTACAAGGAATCCAGCAATGTCAATTATATTATCCTAACTTTAGTTTGAGCTATTATTTATTACTAAAAAGGTAAATATTCTGGTTTTCCCACACATCTGGTAGGGACGGTTGGTGGGGGGTGGGGGGGAGGGAGGGACCGACCGACCATCTGTTATGAGGGGCCTCACGTGGTGCAGTAATTCCCTCACAGATGGTGTTATGAGGGGCCTCACGTGGTGTAGTAATTCCCTCACAGATGGTGTTATGAGGGGCCTCACATGGTGTAGTAATTCCCTCACAGATGGTGTTATGAGGGACCTGACGTGGTGTAGTGATTCCCTCACAGATGGTGTTATATGAGTGAGGTGTGGTCCCAGGCCTTCCTATCGTAGACGGATTAACACATCGCTGGTTGTTGTTGGGTCTCACGGGCCGTTATCACTGGGTACCTGGGACCTCACTGTGTGAAGGTTAACTTGGGTACGACTGTTACTGTGGAGTTGTTCTCACTGACTTAAGCACTGTTCACCACTGTTCACCTCTGTTTAACACTTCTTGGTGGAGGCATGGAATCAGCTGTCTGTAGCAACGGTTCATCACGCATGGAGACATGTGTTGCAAGGTATCCCAGGTGGGAGGCAGAGTCAACCTGTGACTGGTGAGGTTCAGTCTGTTGCAGTAGCAGTGGACCTTGCCAGAGAAGCTGCACAGAGTGTTACAGCTGCAGGCTTCTCCGAGACCACCAACGAAGACATCCTGGAGGTGATCAGGGATCCTGAGGTGACTGCCGACGAGATGTTAGAAAATGATCACGTCAGTAAAGAGGCAGGTGGTGCGTCATCCCGAGAAGAACACAAGTTAACGCATGGTAATGTTAGGGGTGCCATCGAGTGTGCAGAGAAACTGAAGCTCATCCTTTCCGACGACCCTAATGATAACCGGTATGAACTCTTCACTACCCAGCTGTTGCAGACTATGGAGCCGTACATCAAGGTGTATCACGACAACATCAACACTAGCCGTCAACAAAGCATTACCGAGTTCTTTCGCCCGCAACCCACCACAGCCAGCCCAAGCCAGTGATAGTGACAGAGACAGAGACAGTGATGGTGATGGTGACTTTGAGGGATTTGTCAGGGAGACCCTGACAAATGTGGAAGACAGTGATGGTGACTCACCTGAGGGCCAGAAGTCTGCCCTCTGCCTCGGAACTAGCCGCCATTCCCGTACGCCGACCCTTCTCTTCTGTTTACGTAAGTGTTAAACCTAACCTTGAATTTTCGTAACATAACCTAACCTTAGGTAAGTGTTAAACCTTGATTTTTCTTTTACCTGGTACAGTATATTATTCTCTTATTAATATTTCTCTTCTATATTATGTGTGTGTGCATACCATCATAAAGTTAAGATGTTATTTTTACTAAAACGTACGTATTGTGTCGGGAAAAAGTGGAGTTTGGGAGTCGGCCCAGTCTCTATTTCAATTATTCCCATATGTTCTGTTGTTCCATTTACGCGTTTCCTGTTTTACGCGGGCCTCCGCGGGTTCACTTGACAGCGTAAATCAGGGTATTACTGTATAACTACCAAACCCTGGCTGGGAAGGGGAGGGGGGGGAAGGGCAGGTGGAAGGGGAGGTGACAGTGACATGTTTGACAGTCGGTGCCGAAGGTCTAGTGAAGTATTTATTTGTTTATTTATGCCCTTTAGATTAAGTTTTTGTTTTTTGCTTATAAAATGTCATAGAAGTGACCAGGGAGAATATAATTTACATTACTAGAATTATTATAAGATAGTGATTAATTTGAATATAAACATGCTATAGTTTGCACTAGACAAAAGTTTTAGTACCCGGTAATCATTCTGTACATTATTTTGATTACATGTACAGTACGGCTTTGTCCTTAGGACAGTGTGTGCATGTAAATGAGTTCAATAAATGAATAAAGTTACATAATCAAGCCAAAAATATTATTTGAAAAACTTTATGTAGACAGAACTTGGATGGCTAAATTTTAGAATGACCAATAATTTTAATATAGAAAATGCAAAAATATTCAAGAACACAACCTTCTTGATATTTACTCCACTGGAAACGAATGTAAACATAAAACCAATTACTGTATTGGCGAACTAGCCGATCAGCTGATGCTCACAACAAAACGTGTTTGTCGTAAGGATTTCGTTAATCGAAGTTTTGTTCGTTAACCGAATTGACGATCCCTATGGGAGCTAATTCGTGAGCCAAAATTTTGTTAATCGAACATTTCGTTAACCGAGGGACCACTGTATAAACAATACAGGTAAAATAAATTGCTTTCTCTAGAACGAATGGTTCCCTGTCCCAGCTGCAAAAATGCCAGCAACTTTAAAACTACCCTTAGACATCCTTGGATACATCCAGGGTGTCATCAGCGAATAATCGAGGTTCGTAAATTAAATATTAAATCAGCAAATTTTAAGGGCATGCTATACAATACTAAAATTACTTTTAGGTTAGGTAGGATAATAATTTTGGGGGATTGCCCCGCAGGAAAATACCTAAATAGCAATGCAGCCCATGAAAGGTTGCCCATACCTGCTCTAATGTGACTTAGAAATAAAGAAATATAATGTAAAACTATAAAATAAGAAATTTGAAGAGCATGAGTGTGTATTCTGTGTGGGCAGTTTGTCAATAGCGAATCTGGTGACTCGACTGGTAGGCCCATTTCAGTTTAAATGCACACCACACAACCACCTCAGCTTTAAGTTTACTTTATCCTCTTTGTCACTGATTGACAAGTTGATTTTGGCAGAGAATATTTAGGAAAAATAACGGAAGCTTCAAAAAGCTAAAATTATACCAGGTAGTGTACACCCTGCCTCACAGCTCAACTGGGATGTGCTGGCACTGCCGACAGACCCTTAGCAACTGTTGCTATGGGTCTGTCAGCAGAGGCAAACAACTCAAACCTCCTCCCCTGCTCAGTTCACGTGGCAAATGAGGCCGTGTAAAGTTGAATGCGCTTAAGTTAAATGTGCGTAAGATGCAACACAACTGTATAATAAAGTCTACCTCTCTCTCTTTCTTGCTACTCTTACGTGCACAAACATCCCTTCCACCAACCAACCACAGTATGAGTCTGAATCACTTGAGATTGAATCAGTGAAGCAGCTGAAGGAAGTGCCTTCACTGATTCAACCTTAGGTGATTCGGATTCATACTGAGGCTGGTTGGTGGAAGGGATTTTTGTGCACGATATTACAATGCACGTCCCAAATACAGTCATGTGCCGGTTAACGTCCTAGATACGTTCTTGGAAACGTGATGTCAACCGAAATGGACGTTGCCCGAAAGTACAGAACCTATGGGATATATTCTAATTGGTTCCTGGCACCAAACCCCAAGTTTCCCATTTTACAGCCATTTAGACCCACTAAATATATATATTTATATAATGTTATGGCAAATATCATAAACACACATAGGCATGGCTAGGTTTATTACAAAGTGATGAAAAGGATATGCTCAATACTGAACAGTGGGTAGTCCACAAAACATGTAGCTATGTGTTTCCTTACTTGAGTTCCCCGTCATAGGAGTCCGTTTTCTCTCGCTTTAGGACGCCGTTTTCTCTTAATCTTAGAATGCATTGCACCAGAGACTTCGTTATTCCTTAGTAATGACACAGAATTTGATATTGCAACTGGGGTTGCAATTGTTGAGGCAACTTAGATATGTCTGATTTCAGTTGGAATATTCAAGATCCATTGTGAGTGATGTTTAAAGCTTCAACTGTGTTTATGGTTGGTAAAACTTGTCAAGTCTGTCAGTCTGAGTGGCATGTATGAGTCCTTGTGTTTGTACAACTGCTTTCATTCAGACCCACTAAAGATATAATGTTATGGTAATTATCAGAAACACACATAGGTATGACTAGGTTTATTACAAAGTGATGAAAAGGATACGCTCAATACTGTACAAGTAGTCCACAAAACATGTAGCTATGTCTCTCTTTATTTGAGTGCCCCTTCATAGGAGTCCGTTTTCTCTTGCTTCAGGACGCCTGACTCCTCCGTTTTCTCTTAATCTTAGAGTGCATTGCACCAGAGATTTCATTATTCCTAAGTAATGACAGAATTTGAAATTGCAACCCCAATTGGAACTGGGGTTGCAATTGTTGAGGCAACTAGGTATGTCTGATTAAAGCAAATGTGTCATTGTCAATTTGTAGGTGAAAGATTTTATCCTCAATAGATGTAGGTTAACATTACACCTGGAGGCAAATGCCTAAGGAAGGATATTCCTTTAACACATAATATCTGGCCAGTATGGGGAGGATCATCGTATCTCCGTCAGGGGGTCATGGAGTGGTGGTCCAGCAGGTGCCACGGAAGTGTTTTTTTTTGGGGGGCCCACGGACGTATATGAGATTGGACGTTGTTCGGTTGGACGTTAACCGGCGCATGACTGTATACATAAAAATGAAGTAAAATTTATAAATTTCAAATAGATACAAACAGATATACCCTTCCTCCATCACCCATAAATAAGGAAGAATTGGCACTACATGCATTGTACACAAGAGTCTCACTTATAAAAATTTCATCTCTCCAAACTTTTGGTTTAACTGAATTTTATTGAAAGAAATCAACTCTACTACAGTATTTAAGTGCCTCAAGGCCCCTTTTAATTGTGCTTTGAGAGGCTTTTCTCTTTTCACCCCAATTCCCATTCTTTTATGGCTTCATAGTTCTTCCACTACACAACAGCATCTCTCAGACTCATCATACAGACAAAAGCCACATGTACCCTTGTCTCCATCTGCAGTGGTCTTGTTGGCAGCGTCCACACCTTCCCTCTCCAACGACGACAGCTCTGTGCTCTGCCTGATAAGACCAACGCGGTAGAAGTAGTTCCTCCAGAAGGTCTCTTCATTAATCCTGCCAAAAAGAATTAGTATCAGTGTTTATACCTTCTCAGTAATACAGTATAGGTATCCACCTATCTACAATTTCCCTATCTATGATATTCCACTTTAACGATGGATTCCACTCTAACGATGGTGATGTATCAAGACCACCCCCCACCTAATTGCGATGTAAACAATCCGTATGAACGATGGTCATCGTCTGGCCAAAGCGCTTTACAGTCACAAAAAACATAGCAAAGATCACGTCACAGTCACCAAAACAGAATACAGGTTGGACCTCACTGATCCAGGAAGCTTGGGACCAGACCGGTTCCAGATTAGCAAAAATTCCGAACCATTGAAGCCGAGGTTAAAAAAGGCAAAATAATGCATAAAAAGTACTATTACTGTCTAATTTCTTCAGTACAGAGATCTTTTCTAAAATAGTTAATGTCACATGCTTCCATTTTGCTGCATTATAACCTCTTCCAGTGCTTGTTAGTCTCCTAGGAGGCATATTTAGGGGTAAATTATAAGTATTTAAAGGTAAAAGAGTGGCAATAGCCACTAGAAGTGAGCTATGAGACCGTCCGGAACCATCGAAGCCGCTGGACTATCGAGTCCTGGATTAGTGGGGTCCAACCTGTACAATGGGAACGTTAGTGATGTCCTCTTAAAATAAATAAACAAATATATATATATATATATATATATATATATATATATATATATATATATATATATATATATATATATATATATATATATATATATATATATATATATATATATATATATATATATATATATATATATCTATATATATATATATATATATATATATATATATATATATATATATATATATATATATATATATATATATATAGGTCCCGTGTTAGAGTAAAATCATGGTCAGTAGACGCTGGAACATATGGGATTAATTCCAATAGAAACCGGCCCGACCCCCAAACTCCACTTTTTGACGACACATAACTATGTTGTAGTAAAAATAACATCTTAATTTTATGATGGTACATGTACACAATTAATACTTAAGAGAAATAGAGAAATACAGTCGCCAAGTTAATGTCCATTCAAATAATGGACTCAACTCCCTCCCCCTCTTCTCACACTACACTGCTGGCTCTTCCCTCTCTGAGAAATTTTTTGGGGAAAACCACTAAATTTTAATAAATAATACCTCAAACTAAAGTTAGGATAATACAATTGACATTGCTGGATTCCTTGTAAGACCAGGAATATTTTGAATATAAATGTCATATATTTTGCACAAAAGATAACATATTTACTAGAGAAAACATTTTATCTAAAATTTGTATGTCTAATGCAAAATATATGATGTTTATATTCAAAATAATCATCAAATTATAAGAATTCCAGCAATGTAAATTATATTCTGGCCGGGTAATTTGTATGAATTTTATGAGCTAAAACAAATATCTTCAGTTAATAAAAAAAAAAATATTCTTCAGGACACTATCTGTCAACCAAAGTACCCCACCTTGCCTCCCCCCTCTTCCAACCGCGCGGTCAGTCCCAACCCTCCCCCCCACCTCCCACCAATCCTCCCTTCAAGAGAAGAGTGGGTGAAAAAAATAAATTTTAACATTTTGTATTAAATAATACCTCAGATTAAAGTTAGGATAATATAATTGACATTGCTGGATTCCTTGTAAGACCAGGAATATTTTGAATATAAATATCATATATTTTGCACAAAAGATAACATAGTTAATTTGAGAAAAAATTGTATCTAAAATTTGTATGTCTAATGCAAAATATATGATATTTATATTCAAAATGATCATGAAATTATAAGAATTCCAGCAATGTAAATTATATTCAGACCGGGTAATTTGTATGAATTTTATGAGCTAAAACAAATATCTTCAGTTAATAAAAAAAATAATAATTCTTCACGGGGTAACAGATGGTCCGTCGGTCCCTCCCTCCCCCCCACCCCCCACCAACCGTCCCAAGGAGATGTGTGGGATAACCACTAAATTTTAATAAATAATACCTCAAACTAAAGTTAGGATAATATAATTGACATTGCTGGATTCCTTGTAAGACCAGGAATATTTTGAATACAAATGTCATATATTTTGCACAAAAGATAACATATTTACTCAGAGTAAACATTATATCTAAAATTTGTATGTCTAATGCAAAATCTATGATGTTTATATTCAAAATGATCATCAAATTGTAAGAATTCCAGCAATATAAATTATATTCTGGCTGGGTAATTTGTATGAATTTTATATGAGCCCTAAAACAGGCGAATCAGGCAGGAGTGGCGGGTGGGCAAATCTAAAATAGCGTCTACGAGCCAGACACTCACAGCGTATATATGAAGAAAAAATCCGTGTTAAGTGAAAGTTCCAGCTCTGGCGAGGCACACGTATATGATATTAAAAAGCGTTAAGTGAAACCTTAAGTGAGTTAAAGATATATATATATATATATATATATATATATATGTATATATATATATATATATATATATATATATATATATATATATATATATATATATATATATATATATATATATATATATATATATAAAATGTTTTGAAGCAGCACCCCCATGAATTAGAATCACGAGCCGCCACTGAACATAAGACCATTAGCCTTGCTATGAAAATGAAAGTTTTAACCCATTTTGCGAAAGGTGAATGTGTGGTGGACATTGCTGCTTCCTTAGGTCTAACCCCCACAACAGTGCGTACTATTCGGACCAACACGGACAATATTTAAGGTTAGTGCTGGAAGTGGTATTTCTCTGAGTGCAACAAAGACAAGTCGTACTCGAAGTTCCGTGATTGAAAAGCTGGAAAAGATGCTGACTATGCGGATGGAGGACTAGAATCAACGCAATGCTCCTGTGAGCTTTATGGTTATCAACCAAAATCCTTGTTTGACAACTTGAAGGCAGCAGAGGGTGAAGGATAGAAGGATGAGAGCTTTACAGCCAGCCGAGGATGGTTTCAATGTTTTAAGTACCGTTATAACTTCCATAATATTGAGATGACTGGTGAAGCTGCTAGTTCAGATACGGTTGCTGCCGAGATATTCCGCCGGAGTTCAAAAGCATTCTCGAGGAAGGAGGCGACTCAGCGAAGCAAGTCTTCAGTGTGGATGAGAATGGTCACTTTTGGAAAAGGATGCCAGACAGAACCTATAACTCTTAGGAAGAAAAAAGAGCGCCAGGTTTTAAAGCGGCAAAGGACCGCTTGACGCTGCTGCTTGGCACAAACGCTGCTGGCGACTTCAAGCTGAAGCCTATGCAAATTTCTCATGCTGCTAACCAACTGGCCCTAAAGGTTACTCTAAGGATCACCTTCCTGTCATTTACAAGACAAATAAGAAGGCATGGATAACCGGCACCATATTTAGCCAGTGGTTAAATGTGTATGCTGTCCTTGCAATGAAGGAAAACTGTGCATAGGAGAACCTTGACTTCAAAATTCTTCTTGTCATTGACAATGCTCCAGCTCATCCTCCCAATCTTGATGACTTGCATGACAGTGTTTGAGTTGTCTTCCTGCCTCCCAACACGACAGCACTGTTGCAGCCTATGGACCAAGGCGTTATCGCCACATTCAAAGCAGTTTTTTTGGCTCACAGTGGACAGACCACGGTTTTCTGCCGCACAAATGTCCAGCTGCTGCATACAGCTACTTAACTTTGGACTCTTGTCTACAGTTTGCAGTGAGCAGTGAACACGGTACCGGACAAGTCCAGTGGGAAGCCGCACATACAATCCAGCGTTGGACAGTCGAATTCGCCACAACCGCACAGCGTGAAGAGGTACATAAGAACTATCAGTCGACTACTATGTCTGGCACCGCACCGCATCTAGATGCGGTGAGAAGCTGCATAGTGTGAAAGGGGCCTAAGATATAATTATCTAAAGCATTTTAGAATCACAGCCTCATTGAAATTCATTTTAGGTACAGGTAGTACATGCAAAGAGCAACTGACGTCTAACAGGTAGACCCAAGCCCCAGAAGGAAAGGTGGGGGAGAAAAAATGGGATTTGACAGGGGAGGGGGGATGATACGAGGGTAGGCTAGGTGAGGTGGGTGGTCAAGGTGTTTCTGGACACAAGAAGATTGAAGGAAAAGTCCGCTGTCATGGCCACTGCCACCTGACCTGACCTAACATCACCTCACCTCATGAGACCTCTAGGTATGTGACCACACGGTGTCTCCCCACACCCACACTGTACCCTTCATAGGTCCACCCACACTGTACCCTCCACCCATACAACTCTTTTACTATGGCTAATAATTAATTAACTAAAAAAAAAAATATTACTATTTTGCATGTAACAATTTTTGTATTTCAATTGTATTGGATTAAAGTATTAGAAAACCATACGTAAGTAAAAGCAAAAATACTAAAATTTTTTTAGTACTTTTTAAAAAGTAAATACTGTACAGTACAGTATTCAAAAATGTTACTTGAGTACAGTACCCGAGTAAATTTATTTAGTTACCTTTCAACTGCATACAGTACAGTAATAGGAAGCATTGATAAATGGTATACTGTACTGTACTCTATGGTTAATAGGTCACAATTGATAACAATAATAAATGATGGAGAATAATTAAACAGGTCATAATAAGTAAGAAACACGAAAGGCATGAGAGCCAACTCACGTCTTGGGCACCAGTTCGAAGCGCATCTTCTCCAGGTTGGGGTCAGCGGCGAGGGTAGCCTGAGCGACGGGCAGGAAGGCTTCCAACTCAAACTCAAAGCTCACTCCAGTAGGGGGACTACGTACAAAGTTCCTTCGATCCTGTAAAGTGAAAATAGTGTTACTTACTGCTACTGATACATATGGTCCTGTGAGTATACTGTTACTTACTACTACTGTACTGATACATGGAACAGATTAATTATTAGAGGGATTGTATGTGATTTGTTTCCTTAAGGTCTGGTCTGGTTAATTAGATTTGGTAAATTTAGGTTTGGTTAGGTTAAATAATGTTTCATAAAGTATGGTAGGTTCATTAAGGTTAGGTTAACTTAGGTTAGGCTAAAGATAAAGTTTGGTTAGGTTAGGTTCGGTTCGGTTAGGTTAGGTTAAGCTTGACATGGCTTCACTAGGTTAGGTTATGTTAGGTTAAGCTTGACATGGCTTCACTAGGTTAGGTTAAGTCAGGTTAAACTTGACATGGCTCCACTAGGTTAGGTTATGTTATGTAAGGTTAGGTTAAGCTTGACATGGCTTCACTAGGTTAGGTTATGTTATGTTAGGTTAAGCTTGATATGACTTCACTAGGTTAGGTTAAGCTTGATATGGCTTCACTTGGTTAGGTTATGCTGGGTTAAGCTTGACATAGCTTCACTAGGTTAGGTTAGGTTGGGTTAAGCTTGACATGGCTTCACTAGGTTAGGTTAGGTTAGGTTGGGTTAAGCTTGACATAGCTTCACTAGGTTAGGTTATGTTAGGTTGGGTTAAGCTTGACATAGCTTCACTAGGTTAGGTTATGTTAGGTTGGGTTAAGCTTGACATAGCTTCACTAGGTTATGTTAGGTTGTCTCTTTTCAACACGGAAGTGAACTGGCAAACAGACACTGGAAAGGAAGGCGAAACTCAACACCCAACTTATTACGATACAAACATTTACAGAAATAAAACAAGCATATTGTACTGTATTAATTTGTTGTTGTTTAGTAGTCATGCCCCCACTGAGTCATAACTCACACCCTGCAGTAGGCCTGCCCACTCACACCCCTCGGCCCACTCACACCCTGTAGGCCTGCCCACCACACCCTGCAGTAGGTCGGCCACTCTCACACCTGAGTAGGCCTGCCCACCACACCTCTGTAGTAGGCCTGCCCACCACACCCTGTAGTGGTTGCCCACCACACCCTGCAGTAGGCCTGCCCACTCACACCCCTGGCACAACCTCACATCCCTGGTAGGCCTGCCCACCTCACACCCTGCAGTAGGCCTGCTCACTCTCACCTGCAGTAGGCCTGCACCCACACCTGCAGTAGGCCTGCATGCAGCCCTGCCCACTCTGCAGGCCTGCCCACTCCACCCTGCAGCCCTGCCCACCACACCCCTGCAGTGGCCCACCCACCACCCTGCAGGCCTGCCCCCTCACACCCTGCAGTAGGCTGCCCACTCACACCCCTGCAGTAGGCTTGCCCACTCACACCCTGCAGTAGGCCTGCCCACCACACCCTGCAGCAGGCCTGCCCACCACCTGCAGTAGGCCTGCCCACTCACACCCTGCAGTAGGCCTGCCCACTCACACCCTGCAGAAGGCCTGCTCACTCACACCCTGCAGTAGGCCTGCCCACTCACACCCTGCAGTAGGCCTGCCCACTAGCTCCGCTGGGGACAATTATATCAATATATTTTTCTACCTAAATTTTTTACTAAAGGCGAAACAAAAATCTAGTATGACTGAAGTTTAAAAACAAGAGAAAATAATCTTTGGACTGTAAAGGCTTTGGCAAAATTTTGCTAAAATTAACATTGTTTTATCTGTCCACAATTTCTGCAATGTTAATATCCTCCTGCACATTTCCTCTAAAGAATATGTAAACACATTTAACAACTTTACACATACATTTTCTTGTTGTCGACCAAAATTAACAATGACGCCATCAATTATTAATTTTTCTGTAAATAATCGAGTTACGACAACTCAAGTTACCCCGGGCCTACAGCACCCGCCCTCCCTCCAACACTCGCTCCTTCCGGTCACCACCTCCTTCCTCCCTCTACCACCCCCTCCAACACCCACTCCTTCCCTCCACCACCCCACCCTACCCCCCATCCACTACCCCTCTACCTACCTCCCCGTGTTGACACAATGGTCGGAAAACAATAGTGTTATTCTGCAACAATATGTTGTCAGACAACTGCTTCACCACCAAAAACTTATACAGGTACAGTATATCTAACCAGAGTTATATGGTGGTAGTGGTGATGGCGGCGGCAGTAAGGGTGGTGTTGGATGTGGTGGTAGTGGCGGTATGTGTGTGTGACGCACGGAGGGTGATGCAATGTGTCTAGCGTGGCAGCATTATGTTAGTGTTAAGATGCAAGCAGTGCTTGCTTCAGCTACCTCCACTAGCCAGCCCTCGTGGCGAACAGGGAAGCAACTCGCATTAGTTCTTCCCCTGTCAGTACGCAGCCTCTTCACCATCAAGAGTCCTGCTGTGCCTCCTCGTGGCAACACACGGTAACTTGGTGCTTTGTGGACCCTGGCTAGACCAACAGGGGACCTCGGAGGAGCAGTGGGCCCTAGACCTAGAGGGACGGCACATAGGCCCACTGGCATGTGGACACGCCCTGGTGCCTACCAACCAGTGCCCCCTGCCTTGTGGATTAACCTTGGTAGCTATAAGGCTTTGGGAGGAAACCTCGAACGAAAAATTTGCGGTGGAGCCCTGCACCAGGTAGACATGCTTACAGAGCTCCAGTAAGACCCCAATGGCAGTATAGGCGGAAGAGGTGACCAACATGGGAACCCAACGGCTACACCGGTGGATGAAGGCAATGCAATATGGACAGGCTACTAAAGCAAAACCCAACAAACTGGGCTATTGGCAGTCCATTGCAACTCTCCCTCTCCCCAGTCATTGCAACACATGCACCACTGAATCAGGAGAAGGGAGAGCCTGCACTCCTGCCTCACCACATCAATTAATTCATGTGCAGCCATCATCCAGCTCATCATCATCAAAATCCCTATATCCCTGAAAGTCCCCTGGCGACGGACGAAGTGAAACAGGGAGATGCAGAGACGACTGTCGGGAGTCTCTAGTCACAACTCTGCACATGGGCGGCATAGATAAGATGGTAGTTTATGCACTGGGATCTTGGCAGCAGTGCAACCCAGTCCTGTCTGTACGACTGAGCAGCCCTTACCAGGAGCCACCCTGCTCACCCCACATGGGGAGGGGGCTAGAAAAGGTGCCCAAAACATAGCCGACCTAAAAAACCAACATGACTGGGCAACCACTGCAATCACAAACACAATCATAATGTCAGAACCCTTCTGAATACTGGCACAAATGAGCATCCTGAAAGAAGAACCGCCCTTGTGGCAAAAATGCTGGATAGGTATAATATTGACATAGCAGCCATAAGTGAGTTCCAGCTCCCAGATGAGGGTAGACTCACAGAACGGGGGTCTGGCTATACTTTCTTCTGAAAGGGTAAGCTTGTTGCAGAGAGAAATTGCATTTATAGAGATTGGTTTAGCCATCCGCCAAAGCATCCTACATAGGCTAACTGAAATGCCTTTTGGGATCAACCAGCGCCTCATGACCATCCGAGTCCCACTGAATCACTCACGTCATGCCTTCTTCATCAGTGCGTACGCCCCCAAAGCCAATTGCAGAGGATGACATCAAGGAGGTTTTTTATGCCATCCTTGACAGAGTGCTAAATTACCTCCAAAGTTGCACGTATATTGAGCAGTGGCCCTCCTCACCCTGCTATATGGCAGCAAGACATGGGTCACATAAAGGAGGCACCTCAAGGCACTTGAAAACTTTCACCAACGAAGTCTATGTTCCATCCACTCAGTTTGCTGGGAAGACAAGAGAACAATTGCCAGTATTCTCACTGACACCAACTGCAGGAGTATCGAGGCTACCATTATCCATGAACAACTACGTTGGACTGGCCATGTTACCCGCACGGATGACAGTAAACTGCCAAAGCAGCTACTTTACAGTTACCTAACGAATAGTAAATGTAAAACTGGCAGGTAACTAAAAAAAGTATAAGGATAGTCTTCAGACAAACCGGAAAAATTGCAAAATCTACCCCCTCACCTGGGAGATGATTATTCCACACCGTAACGCTTGGAGGAGCACCACACAAGAAGGTGTCACTAGTTTCGAGTTAGTCCAACTGCACACCGCGGCAGATAATTGTCAGAAAAACACTGCCGCTGCCCCTACCACACTAGATGTAGCCCTCCACAAGTGTAACATCTGTGGACGACCCTGCCGGTCCCGTATCGGCCTCTCAAGTCGCCTCAGAGCTCGCCAACGAAGATGACATTCTCAATAACTCATATCATTGTATCATAGCTGGATGATCATTATACTCGATTCCAAGCGACAACAAAGTAGTAGTAGGTAGTGGCCTGCGTCCTGTGGTGTAATGGTCAGCATGCTCGCCTCGCAAGCGAGTGGACCCAGGTTTGATCCCCAGATAGGGTGAAACTATGGGCAAGTTTCTTTATGCCATTTGCCTGTCTACCCAGCAGTAATTGGGAACCTGGATGTGAATCTATTTGCGGATTGTATTCTGGGGTAATGGTTAGCCAGTGCAGTTGACGAGTCGTCCGGTCTTCTTGGACTATTCCTTGACACTAGGTCATGTAACTCGTTAACTCAGGGTGTGGGTGTTGTGATGGTGACAGCTTCTACATCTTAACAAATTCACGCCTAGGTGGCCCTTGGGCCGGCCATCCTCGTTACATGAGGGACAACCATTATTTATATAGTAGTTATTGGCAGTAAGGTGGTCGTGTATGTGGCAGAAAGGGTGGATGTGGCAGTGGGGGGTGGGTGGTGGTGGTGGTGGGTGGTGGTGGTGGTGGTGGGGCGTGGTGGTGGTGGCAGTGGTGGTGGATGTGGCAGTGGGTGGTGGTGGATGTGGCAGTAAGGTGGTGGTGGATGTGGCAGTAAGGGGTGGTGGTGGTGGTGGTGTGGGGTGGTGGTGGTGGATGTGGTGGTGGTGGTGGTGGTGGTGGCAGTGGTGGGTGGTGGTGGAGTGTGGCAGTGGGGGTGGTGGTGGATGTGGCAGTAGGTGGT